GAGTGGGCGGCGGCGGCACAGACGTGCGACGTGCCCAGGTAGACCACACGAAAAGCAGATCGGTCGGTTGTCGGCAGTGTGCCATGGATTAGGGACTCGGCGAACTGGAGGTCGTGGCGGCTGGGCGGCATAAACAGGAGCAGGCAGTGGAGGCGGCGCTTGGAACGTCTGTGGTCGTGGTCGTGCTGCTGCTTCGGCGTACGTCAATGGTGCATTGACTGGTGGCACCAGCTGCGGAGGAAAGACCTCAGACACTTGATCTCGTATAATAGTCCGTAGAGTAGGGCTAAGCGGTGCACTGCGCTCCGGTAGGCCAGAGATGAGCGAGAGTTGGCGGGCAACTTCTTCGCGCACGAAATCTTTGATCTGCGAGAGGAGGAAGGGGTCTTGCGAGGGAGTTAAGCCGGACATCGATTCCTGATGTGGGACAGCACGGCGGGTGACGAGACGTTGCCAGCGGAGCTCATCATAGCTTTGGCAGAGCTCGGTAACTTGGGCGACAGTAGCAGGGTTTTTTTTAAATGAGCATCTGGAAAGCGTCCTCGTCAATACCCTTAAAAATATGCTTGATGCGGTCCACCTCTGTCATGTTCACATCGACGCGTTTGCACAAGTCAATGACGTCTTCTATGTAACTTGTAAAGTTCTCACCAGGCAGTTGAGATCTCGACTGAAGGCGCTGCTCCGCACGAAGTTTTCGGACAGAAGGACGACCAAAGACTTCGCTGAACTTTGCTTTGAATGCTGTCCAGGTGGGAACGTCGGTCTCATGGTTCCGAAGCCATAAGTGGGCAATGCCACTGAGGTGAATGCCGACAGTGGCCAGTCCCGTGGCTTCGTCCCATTTGTTCAAGACACTCACGAGTTCTTAAGTAGCCAGCCAGTCGTCGACGTCGTGGTCGTCAGTGCCGCTGAATATGGGAGGATCCCGCTGACGGACCGCGCCGGAGCACACGATGGCCTGGGAAGCCATAGGAGGAGGGCTTGTGGCAGATGCAGTGGTCATGACAGCAGGTAGAGTCCGGCTTCGCAACTCCAGAATTGCAAGGAGACCCCGCACCTCCACCAACTATAATATAGAACGGAGACAGTCAAAACTGTTATCCGAGACCAGGTAGGAGCGTAGGCCTAGCTAGCAAAATCAGCGACAGTCCGGGCCGAGCGTCTCGTGCTTAGCACTGACAGTGTGTGTGCCGAGATTCGCATGACCCACTACATTCACCTTACAAAAGGACCAGTCTTGGCGTTGGAGGGGGAGACGCGGGCCGCGGGGGCAACGCTTGGTCTCCTTTCCTCCTTCCTCCTCGTGGCGTCCGGCGACTTACTGGCAGCCGAGACCACGGGAGGTGCAGCGAAAGGCCGTAGGGCGCCGGAGGGGCCGTCCCAGCCTCCCCTTGCGACGTCAATCACGATACCTGTGCACGCGAGAAAGTCGCGACCGAGAATCACAGGCACGGAAATACCAGGGAGATGAACAAAGCGCTGTCGGCGTGCGCGATTCTCCCAACGCACGACCAGCCCACGCGCAACGAGGCTCGAGAGACGCGGACGGCGGTGGTGGCGGGCGATAGGCTCACGCCGCCAGAATGTCACCCTGAATACGCTTCGCATCGGATGCCAGCTCGTTTAGGTCACTATAACGGCCGTTCCGAAGGTAAGCGGCGAAGGTTGGATGAGCCTGACGTATGGCTCGCTCCACCTTCTCGGCATCTCGGCAGATAACTGGAACCTTTTTAAAAATGCTCTTTCAACCTAATTGATCAATATATACCAGTCATTACCATATAAACAAGCAACGTCGTTCCGTGGTTCAATAATCAACTGCGTCGACTTAATGATAAAAAAAGCGACTGTTCAGAGTAGCGGACAAAAACAGATTATCAGATTCATGGTGTCATTATAAAACATGTGACAAGTTATACCAACGCCTTTTAAAAACTACTCGTCGTCGTTTCTTCAGCCATGATTTGTCATCAATGCTAAAAAATAACCCTAGGCGCTTTTGGCGCACGATAAATCCTAGTAACCAACCTGATGTATATCTCGGTAATACTGATGAAAGCCCTGTTCCGGAATCAGAATGCGCTCAGTTATTAAATGATACATTCTTATCAGTCTTTACTCTTGAGGATACTACTTCATGCCCTAACATAGATGTAGTTGCCGGTATTAATATGTCGGAAATAATAATTGACGAAGCTGGTATCATATCTTTACTCGAAAAGTTGAAAACTTCGTCTGGATCCGATCATAATGGCTTCAATAACAAAATACTGAAAAATATTTCCTCAGGTATCTATCGCTTTTTGGCAGCAATCTTTTCTCTATCGTTATCATCAGGCACCATTCCTGACGACTGGCGAATAGCAAAAGTAGTGTTGCTATTTAAATCTGGTGATCGCTCATCCCCGCTTAATTACAGACCCATATCTTTAACTAGTACCATATGTAAACTTTTGGAACACATTATACACTCCCAGGTAATCTCCTATTTAGAGGAACACAATATCATCTTTATATACCAGCATGGTTTTCGCAAGGGCTATTCATGCGAAACTCAACTCGCGGGATTTACCCATGACTTGCACTCATCATTGGACGCCGGCATTCAAACTGACGCTATATTCCTTGATTTTTCAAAAGCATTTGATCGTGTCTCTCACCATCGGCTCTTACTAAAACTTAGGCAGCTTAATATTCACCCACTTGTTCTCGCCTGGCTACAAGCCTTTCTTTCCAGTAGAAAACAATTCACATCTGTCAATAACTTTAACTCTCCTTTTGTTGAAGTCTCATCTGGAGTTCCCCAAGGAAGTGTGATTGGTTCCTTGCTTTTCCTTATTTATATTAACAACTTACCCTCCTCAGTCAATTCTAAAGTTAGGCTTTTCGCTCACGATTGTGTCATTTACCATACCATTCATCTGAAACTGATCGACAATCTCTACAATCTGATCTTGTCTCTTTAACTTCGTGGTGCACAGCATGGCAAATGAAACTAAATCCTTCAAAGACTAAGCTAATGTGTTTTACTAAAAAAGCGTCCCGTATTCCAACGTCTTGCTTACTAAATAATACTTCAGTGGAGCTTACGACTTCTTATAAATACCTTGGGGTTAACATTCAGTCTGACCTGTCATGGCATCACCACATTAACGTCACCCTTGCTTCAGCAAATCGCTCACTCGGGTTCCTTAAACGTAATTTGAAACACACACCCTCACACTTGCGTAAACTGGTTTATATCACCCTAATCCGTCCTAAAATAGAATATGCCTCAGCCATTTGGGATCCCGATCAAGACTACATTATTGAAAACATCGAAGCCCTGCAGAACCGTGCTGTACGTTTTATTTTTTCTGATTATTCACGTCACACGAGCGTCACTTTATTGAAACTTCGTGCCGAACTGCAACTCTTATCACGTCGCCGTAAAATTGCTCGCTTATCACTACTTCATAAGCTCTACCATCACACATCACTTCACGAGGATTTCTTTAGGCCACCCCCTGCCATCTTTCCGCGCCGCGAAGACCCCTTTAAAATCGAACGCTTCCCTTGTCGCACTTTTCATTATGCTAGATCCTTCATACCCCGCACAATAACCGAGTGGAATGACTTACCTTCAAACATTGCAACCGTCACCGATATCACTGAATTTCAGAACCTACTAAACATGAGTGCAAGCGTGTGAACCTTTTGCGGCATTCCCCCCTCTTTTTTCTTTTTTCTGCAAACCGTATTTTTGTAGAAACTGCGTATGTTCATGGTTCGTGTTATTTATTGCTGTGTTTGCCTAATTCAGTTATTCACACGTTTTTTGGTGATGTTGCCATTCCTTTATGCTTAATGGCGCGTGTGTTTGTAGTAAGCTAGATTGCGTTTTATTGTACTCTTGTGACTCTATTTCCTTCTTTGTGTAGTTCAATTTTAAAATATTTTTTTAGTTTTATCATTGTTTGACTCATATTATTTCTTCTGAATATTTAAGATTATGCGGTAAGAATATTGACCTTATATTTATTCTAATGTATTTAGTAGCTGTATGGTGTTTAGTTTGCGTGTTTTCTGGTTCTATTAATCATTTCATGTACCTGTATGTGTTATAGCCCCCCCCCCCCTATGTAATACCCTCCTGTGAGAGCGCCCTTAGGGATATTCTGCATAAATAAATAAATAAATAAATCTGATGCCGTAAGATCGGCAAGGAGGTAGAGCTCCTGCAAAGCCCGAACGTACTCGAGAAGAGATTCGTCGGAATGCTGTGTGCGAAGCTCTAACTCACGACGCATGCGGTGCTCGTATTCAGGAGGAAGCATTTCGCTGCGGAAGAGCGCCCTAAACTCCTCCATCGAGCAATCTTGGTGGCCGACGAGCCGGTACCACCTCGCCGCTTGGGCTGTCAGCGACACCGGCAAAACAGAGCCAAGATAACGCTGTCGCTCAGCCGCGTAGCCTGCTGATAGCGGTGCAGCGAATCGAGGTACTCTGTGGCACTGATGCGGTCCAAATAACCGCTGTACTCAGGCAGAGGTACCTTTAAGCTACTCGGAACGCTTGGCTGAGCGCACTCGGGGTCTCCCTCTAAAGCACAAGGCTGTGAGCGCACCGCATCCAACAGAACGTTTAGGAGCTGCGCCACAGTTGCGTGCAGCGGTGACAGCTCCGACGCCGGCGCCGCCGTAACAGGTGCACGCGCCTGTTCGCCAACATGCGCGTCCGACCGAAAAGGGCCAGTACACGGCATGGAGGAGGGTAGGGTTACCGCTCCGACTAGTGCTTGAGGCCTCACGCGACTGGCAAACGGGTCGACAGCGGAGCATGGCGCCCACGTCCGTCGAAAGCGTCGCCCACGCTAGTCTCAGGCCAGCGAGCTTCGGTGAACGCGGCGACGTTGTCTGTTAAGCGAGCAGGCTCGCAAACGACATCGTCAACCTTTTGCGCTCGCGACCACGACGGGTCAGTAAGCGCGTTCCCGCCAACACCTGAGTGCCCCCGGTATGAATGACTGGGTGCGGCTATTTGAGCTGTCAACCGTGCTGCTGACGGGGAAAGGTCAGCGAGCGGAGACTGCGCCGGGGACGGGCCTGTAAGTGCGTGAGCATCGAACAGCTGATACAGCCCGTTACTGGCTTGGCTAGGACTGTGGTCCTCGTTCAAGCGACTCGCATAACCGTAGGGAGCCCCGAAAAAGGGATCCTTCCCGGTGAACGAAAGCCGAGGGTCGCCGATAGGGCCGTACCCCGTGCTTTTGCAGCGGTCCGCCTCAAACGAGATCCAGTCCGTCGCCACAGGATCGAACAGGAACGAGCGCCTTGAAGGGGTCTGCTCTGAAGCCATGCCGAAACCAAGTTGGGCGCCAGTTATGTAGAGATAGGTTTGCACAAGGCTTACCTACTATGCGCAACCATGTAGGGATGCGACGTCCTCCAATGCCGCTGCATGCGAAGACGTTGCGGCTGGGTTCGTCGTTTTCTCCGGAACGGCGTAGAAATCACGCACGAGGCATGATAACAAAAACAAGGGGTTTATTAATCCAAGATGCAGCACAGTGCGACACTCACGGGCTTGCAGGCCGTATAGGGAACTCCGCAAGACCGAGCAAATACGCTTGACTAGGGCGCTACGACTCCCGCACAAGGGCCGAAGTCGAACGCTCGAACGAGAAGCCGCCTGCTAAGCAGCGCGTCAACCTCTCGTGGGGCCCTGAGAGCATCTGCCGCGACGAGCGAATAGTCGGGCACAACACAGCTCGTAGGAGAGGAGGATGTCACGTGTCCCCAATGGGAAATGGCGCTGCGTTGTGACGTAGCCCGCGCAGTGCACCAGCGCAGCGTGTCCGGACATGCCAGCGTGGGAAGAAGCCGACGGTTGACTGGCCCAGACCAAGAGGCGCCCTGGCAGCCATCTCGGCGGATGCCGGCGCTTATGCACGCCCGGGCTACGCTGGTGGCATGCGTGCGGCAGCAGGGGAACGAGGCGCCAGGTAGGAGGGCACTCTCGATTCCCACAAATGTCATCGGTGCACGTGCACATGTTAGCTGATAGCGGAGTTAGCAGGTATGCAATGAGAACCTTCCTTGAGTGAGCCCACAATTAGGAAGGGGACGCAAATGTCGGGAGTCAATATATGCCACTTAAGTGTATTACCACCCCAAATGTAATATAACTGTCCAATCTGCGGCTGCTGTCACCATATCTTAGAAGCTAAGCTCCTTATGGCACCACCTGGTCGTTCGTTCCTCCATCCTACATAGCCAGCATATCCACGGAGTAAGTTATTCCTTGTTTTTGCTATTTGCATCATGCACAGGCAATGAAAGAGCAACACATATCATACATTGGATTCATAGCACATCCTTCGTAAAGGATTTGTCCTCATTGAGAGAGAGAAACAATATTCATTTACGCGTTCGGCGTGCGGGAAGTCACCGGCCACGCAGGGCGCGGGTATTCCCTATCTGAAGACTTTGGCTAATAGAGTCCTATAGTCTCAGACCTAGATCTTGAGGACGTTCTGCTCCGGCTAGGCGTTGGATACTCGGGCTCCTCCGCTCCCGTTGTCCGGGGCGTCGGCTCCTCTTTTCCTCTGCTTTGCAAGGGCCTTCTCAAGCTGCTGGATGGCCCTGGCAAAGTTATGTGCAACAGTCTCGGCAGAAAACAGCACTTTGCTATAGGTGGAAGTGGTGAAGAAATACGTCTACTTAAAACAGGTAGTTACCGCGTAGCCGAACCATGATAGGGAATCATTGACCCTCAGTTTGCAGTGTACCGGTAGATAAGGTAATTTTTCTGAAGACACCAACACGTTCAACGAGCCGTGCGACGTGCTCTTCCTGCGATCAATGAGAAAAGAAGAATTTTGTTTTCCTCCACATGGACAGCACTGAAAATGAAAATAAATTTGCAATATAATCCTAGCCTGAAATTTTACTTCTATTTATGCCAAAAATGAGCATCTATGAAATCAGGGTAAATAGATGTTTAATTACAACTAAATTAGGATGAGTACCTAAAGCACTCATATACTCACGAATTATCTCAATATTCTTTTTGCAATGGAATATTGAGTGCCTTGATGTAACGTAGTAGCAATTTGACTCATGTACATATAGTTCGTCATAGGTGGCGCCTGTAAGGGGTAGTGATAGGTGCATTATCCCACCTACTTAAGTAGGTGCACGTCTAAGGCAGGGAGACGTGATCTCTCCACTTCTATTCACCGCGTGTTTACAGGAGGTTTTCAGGGCCCTAAATAGGAAAGAGTTAGGGATAAGAGTTAATGGAGTGTACGTCAGTAACCTGTATTCGCAGATGACATTGCCTTGGTGAGTAATTCAGGGGACGAATTACAGCCCATGATTACTGTACTGGACACGAAAAGCAGAAAAGTAGACTGAAAATTATTATGCATAAAGCTCAAGTGTTGTGCAACAGTTTAGGCAGAAAACAGCACTTTGCGATAGGTGGAAGTGATGAAGGAATATGTATACTTAGGACAGATAGTCATTGCGAAGCCGAATCATGACAGCGAATTAACTAAAATAAAGATGTGTGGATCACATTCAACAAGCATTCTCAAATCTTCAATGGTAATCTGCCACCAAACCTGAAGAAGAAGGTATATAACAGCTGCATCTTGCCAGTATTATCTACGGAGCAGAAACTTGGAGGCTTACAAAGAGGGTCTAGCGTAAATTGTGGACGACGCAGCAAGTGATTGAAAGGAAATGGACAGGTGTTACCTTAAGAGACAAGAAGAAAAGGGCCGAGTGGATCAGGGAACCAAAAGGGGTTGAGAATGCCATAGTTCAAAATCAAGAAGAAATGGACATTGGCCGGAGACGTAGCTTGTAGGCAGGATAACAGCTGGTTATTAAGCATAACCGAGTGGATACCAAGAGGAGGAAAGTGCATGAAGAGGAGACAGAAAGTTAGGGGGACCGATGAGATTAAAAATTTGCGGGTATAACGTGGACACGGAAAGGACAAGACCAGGTTGAGTGGCGGATGATGGGAGAGTTCTTCACCCTGGAGTGGGCGTGGTCAGGCTGATGATGATGATGACGATGACGACGACGATTATGATGATGATGATAATGATGCATCGTTGCACCGCTTCTTTTTGGACAGTCCAGGGAGCCATACATGTTCATTACTGTTTTATAATACACCTTGTTCCACGTATCCAACTTGCCTTAATATTGCTAACCTGTCGTCCCTTCAAAAAAACACAAACATATCCACCCGCATAGTATTAAAGTGAGTAGGGATGTCAGAAGCTGTGCACAAACAAGCCTGCAGCCAGCAGCCGAGTCACTGCGCCGCAAGTCAGGGTCTATATGTTCTGCAGCACTTTCAGGCGCGAGACATTCATTTACTTGTTGAGATGTATCGAGCATTAAAAAATTCATAAAACGTTGTAAGAGTCCTCCAAAATAAAGAAGGATCGTCATTTCACGATCTACCTATATACTTCAACACATTAAAAGCTATTTCAAGCTTCTGCCAGCGTATCTTGGGAGAGCCCTTACAAGTGAAATGGACTTTCGCTGAATTTGATCAGAGCCTTTTCAAACAAAAGAAAAATCTAACGCATGAATTTGCGGCAGGGCTCCAAAATATCCAATAAAAATGCTCCAAGCTTTTTTAACCTAGGCATTACAGGAAAGGAGACTTGTGTTGAGCACCGCTGGAAGCGAAGCAAGCATTAAAGAAGACGAAGACTCCCAACGTTTGTAAACCAAAACCGTAAGAAAACAGAGCTCGAAAGTGAACGATAAGGCCATAGTATTTTGTCGTGTTCGTAATAATTTGCGTCGAGAGTTTGTAACCAATGGCTCAACTTTTAAGCAGCGTTTTCAATTGACTGTTTCAGAATGTCCATGACAGATGTGTAAAGGCACCGCGTGGAGCTTTCATTAGGCGGCTGCTTCATTTTCCAGGTCAGCGCCCCCACTTTGAGCATGAGTTTACGAGTGGACCATAATTTTGCATCTCATTCTTCTTTACCTCCTTATTCGCCTCACTTCATGCATATGATTTTGTTCTATTCTGAGCAATGAAAAAGAAAAGGTTAAGAATGACACTTTATAATGATGAAGACGTGGTGAAAACACCCTCGCAAAGGACTCTTGATGACATAAAGGTTGAATAGTTTCAGACATACTTCAAACACTACACAAGAAATATTTCGGATATGCGTCTCGTTTTCTGATAGTACTTTAAAGGTTAATGAAAGAAGTCTGTGAACTAGTTCACGAAGTAATAATTCTGTAACGAAATTTTATTGTTCAGAGGGAGGGGGCAGGTTCTGAATTATAGCTAGCACTGTCTGCTTGAAGTCAGTGACGTTGTGTTTGACGTCGCCGAATTGTGTTCGTAATTTTCCAAAGATGTTCTAGTCCTGGGATAGGCAACCTTTCACCTTTCGAGGGGGGGGGGGAGGGTCAGCTGTGAGGACTGTGAAACGGCTATGTGACCTCACCTATATGAGCGTGCGGGAGAGGGTCGCTTTGAAGGTAAAGCAAACAACTTCGTGAGGATTGGAAATCATGTTTACTGCCAGTTTTCATGACATAATGTTAGCATGAAAGATAGCTTGTTTACAAATATCTTATATTTGGTTGAAGCGACCAATTCGGCGTTCATATGGTAAGAGATAAATTGAGTAGGAAGTAGGCAGAGGTTTGAGGGCGTGCTGGGGCCGCATAATGCTGTCCTTCGGGCTGCAGGTAGCTGGCCCCTGCTGTTGGTCATGGAACTTTCAGATTCCTCCATAAAAACTTGTTGACTTTTTCAGTTTATAACTACCAAAGTGTACGTAAGCTAAATGGTAGCTCATTGGCAGCCAGTCCCCACTTATAACGGTAGGTTGGCTGTTTGCACAACGTTTTGCAGTTAGTGATTCCATTATCAAAATGACAGAAATATCGTACCGGGTATCACTCAGGCTCCGACCCCGGTTCTTTTCGTTTTGGGTGTGTAAGGTTAGACGTTCACCGGGAGTGATGGTTTTATGGGCAAAGCTGGCGCTGGACCACGCTCTAGTGAGTTAAAGTGGCCTTCAAAAGGGAGAACGGCCGTTTT